ACCACCTATGATACATTCTAATTTAGAGTCAATGCTATGTGCTGCATCTTCTATAAACTTGAAAATTTTCATCACTTCGTCTCTACTCATACGTTCTTGCAAATCCTATTATTAATAAGTAATATCGTATGAAAATATCTTGGAAAATAAAATTTACTAAATCCGATTTAATTAAAATTCAATGCTCACTTCAAAACAAAGAATTCCCGCTCTCTGTGCATGAGTAAGTTTAACATTCCTTAATAATTCTTCGCGTGTTCTATATCCTTGGGCGTACCACTTAAGTGCTTGAATAACTCCGACGCCTTTTAAATGTTGACGTTAATCAAGTTACCAAATGAACAAACAAAGATCTAGCTTATTTTGCGTACCATGAATCTGTGTAAACATCGTAAAGACAGGTTCGGCTTCTCCAGAAATATCTAACCTATAAATGAAAACAAATAGAAAGGCCATTTAACGTGATGCACTCCTTTCTCCCCTCAATCAATTCAAACTCATTTTAATATGGAAGCGAAAACGAAAACGGTAATATAATGTATAAAAAGTATTGATTTAGAAATTAATATTTAAAATTTTTGGTTACTCGATAAAATCAATAATTTATTTTCATGTAAAAATTCGCTACGCCAGCCATGAAGGCGTTTTATCATATTTACGCAATGGCGTAAATCTAACCTTTTGAGATGACCTGTTTCAATAATTTCCACGATCTGAAATACCAACACATAAAAATTAGAAAAATGCGATCTGCTTATAACAACAATAAAAAATACACACCTTCTTTGCAGTGCGATCTCCAATACCAGGAATTTTTTTAGCTTCCTCATAAGAAGTTATGGGTTTCTTTTGATTTTTCAAAACAGATATAGCTTTGCGATAGGCCAAAATCCGCCATTGATCTTTATTTGTCTTTTGATAATGTTCCAACATCAAATTAAGCTAAATTTAATAAAAAATTGTTAAATTATTTTTGGTTAGCTTTGCAATAATTTACACAGCAACAAACCTTATCAATGATTAATTTATTCGGATTTTCATTAATTTCTCCATAGGTATGCTTATGCATATAAACGAAAGAGGTTTGATAGCTAGAAAAATCCTATTTCAAAGGTAATTTAATGATCATAATAATCCTCATTTCATAATAATATAAAAATGAATAAATACAATTGTTTTCAAACGGAAAATTTCTCCTTCTCCTGTTTTACTTATCGGTGAAGCTGATTTATTTTTATGATTATTAACATTATCGGATGTATTGTCAACAATATCATGCGACGTCGTCAGTTCATCTTCAGCGGATTCTGTTGCACCTATGGATTCATGATGTCTAGCAGATGCGTTTGAGTCCTCCTGATCATGATCTTCGTCTTCTTCATCCGAGTAAATTCCCTATTATTACTTATATTAGTGAGGAGTTCACAAACTCAAATGATAATTAATCTATTACCTCTTCAGTAAGATGCTTTGCTTCAGCAATGATTTCTTTTAAGGGATCTTCTTGGGAAGCATTTACCATTTTGTCATTATTAGGAGTGTTGATAGTATTCAAAAAGTTTTTTCCGGAATCCGAACTGCTATTATAATTTTTCGTGGGTACTTCATCATTGCTATTGTTATTAAACAGTTAGCGAAATTTTCGTCTGTTTAGTTGCAATAGGATCCGAATGAAATACTCATTAACTTGATTGTAGTAGTAGTCTCGTCTTGCTCATCGAATTTCTTCTCAAGTTTCAATGATTCTGACGTGGTTTGGAGTGGATTGATAGTAATCTCGCGTGAATTGGTGCCATATAAATGCACAACATAATTATCGATCTCTAAAAGCTTATTATACTATTCACGAGTAATTAACTCGATAATATATCGATATTCGACTAAACTAATACAAACAACCGGAGAAGTATTAATTACCATGATCGAATCCGAGATCCAATTCGCGTTTGTAACTTTTATTCCATGCTTTGATTGTAATTACCAGTGTAAACTCGTATTAATAAATATTGAATTAATTTAGTAGTAGTAATAATAATGGTAATATAAACCTCTGATAATTCTTCCGCTTTATTTATATTTAAAGCTTGAATTACTTTTTTTCCTTTTAACTCTGTAATGACATGCGTTACATTAAGAACAACGAATAGCTCCAATACTGATCCGCCTCTTTCCTTGATCCTCGTTTTCAAAAATTCTAGTCTCACTTTGTCAATATTTTGCGGCACAATAAAGATTCTCAAATCTTTGAAGATTCCATTGACCCATTTCGCAATTGATCTTTCTTTTGACGCTTCATCATCATCATCATCATTATCATCCTTTACTTTCTTCTTTCTACCTCGCATTTTCTTTGGTGGCTCATAATCTTCATCCTCCATTTTCTTCTTTCTACCTCGCTTTTTCTTTGGTGGCTCAGAATTCGATTCTTCTTTGAGTTTTTTATCATTATTACTATTATTTTTGTTAACATTGCTTGTTGGTGTATTATATTTTGTTGCAGAATTGCTCGTTATTATGCTGTATTTTATCTTTTTATGTTCGCCGGTTTCTGCTTTTGTGAATTTCGAAATTTGGAATGAGTAAGCAGACAGAGGTGAATTTAGGGGTTCTTTAGAAGTGGTGACATTATTAGTTTTATAATTAGTTGTGGTAGAGGAAGAGATATTAGAGGTGGAAGCGGCTATGTCGTTTTTCGCGTTGACTTTTGCAGAATTAGTCTCCATAGAGAAAATTATCTAAAAAAATATATATTGTATTCGATTTTCAGGAACAGGTATGAACTTTTAAATTAAAATTACACGTTGTTTAGTTACCAGGGGGTTTTAATTATTCCCCGCATCGGAGATTTTTGAGTGTACTTATGTAATCAAATATTGACTTGTACGAAGTAGCGCAGTGACATGTTTACTGCGGTGAGATATGATAACGATAATATTTTCTTGGTGTCGAAAATTCTGTTGCACAATATTATCTAATACATGTATATGTAATATAATACAAAATACAATCAATTCATCCTTCTCCTGCAACCAATCGCGTCTTATGGCTTTGCAAGAATCTATACATGTACTGTATATCGATATATACATGTATATATATATATATATCGATGATCGGAATCGGATCGTTGCTCCAAAATATCTTTTAAACAGTCTATTACATATAAAAATCTATAAGAACAATTAGTTATAGGATTTTGATCTTTAAAATAAGAAAATTATAAATTATAAATGCAAGCAAAAATGTAAGACAAATATTTTAGTGTTCAATTTTGTATGCTAGACGGTTTAAGGGATATTAACAATGAAAGAATTAATTATAATAGAATTTTTTATTAATAAAAAAATTAGTTTCAAAAAATTTTAATTATAAAATGAATGATTAAAATTATTAGTTTAACTAGAAATATTTTGTAATTTATTTGATTTAATTTTTTTATAATTTTTAATAAATAAATTAATTTATAATATTGCAATTTATAATTTTAATTAGTAACTTTACAAAAATAATAATTACAAAAATTTAGTAATTTATTAAAATTATCTTAAATCATGTAGTTCAAATTATAATTCAAACTAATAGTTTAAATAAAATTACTAAGTTTCTACAAAAATGATTATATTTTTTGCAATAAGTAACTTTCAAATTTTACACTAATTAATTTTGATTAAAAGATTAAAGATAAATAATTATATAAATACTTGGTAATTTCAATCAGATAAATAAACTGATAACATTCTTAATTTTGACAGTTTATTTTTTTATTTAATAAATATTCAAAATTCATGATAATTTTGTTAATCTTTTATAATGGTGGCCAAAATTAAAGAAATCAACCAAAAATTATTGATAAATTTATCGATCTTTATAATGCCAGACAAAATTAATTACGTATGTTATATAAAAATCTTTTGGCCTTCGACCAATCGAATACTAGATTTTTAACAACGTAATACATTTTGAAAACTCGGACTGATCAACATATTGATATTGGTTAGTATTGTATGCGTTATTTGGTATGGATAAGGCTCAGGATATAGGGTATAGTATAAATCTGTACCATACATGTGTGATTTTCCGACCATACCATACTTCTCTGCTCGAACGTACAATACATCTTTGCTCGAACATACAATACATCTTTGCTCGAACATACAATACATTTTTGCTCGGTCATACAATACATGTATAAACGGGGTCTATAGAGGGATTTGACTGTACATCCAAGTGCATCAAAAAGCTAACATCAAGCAGTGTGACAGGGGCACGTATACGGACAGGCCGAGATTTTGATGTCTGCATCTATTATTAATTAATGCCGGCACATCACTAGTTAGGAACTTTAGTGCTGACTATTGGTATTGACTTGTCTGTATCCTGTGGACACAGACACGGAAGTAGACTTTAGGACATGTCCTGTGTCTGCCGAATATCATCGGACAACGTCCGTGTACAAGGCCTCGAGTGTATCATAAGACTCAGTCATAATTTAAATTGCAGTTTGACAAATATGCCTTATAATTAATTTTCTACACCGCAGTACATCAACACCCATCGGCTAGAACAAAACTTCTGCGCACAGATCAATATTTTGATTACATAAATACACTTGCAAAATCTCCGATTTAAGAAACAACATTAATTATCCTCCATCCTTCCTCATCAATGTTTTTTCAAGCGTGTATTTTAAGAAACTTTTCACGAGTTTTCTATCCGCAGATAAATAATATATTGTATATTTAAAATCTTATACTTGAAGATCGAATATTAGATAGTTTTCTCTATTGTAGACTTTTGTTAAATCAGTTTACGCGTTTTTTTGGGTAGAATGGAGAATAATTCTACAATAGTTGACGCAAAAAATGAACAAGCTGAAACAACTGCTTCCACCTCTAACACCCACAATGCCACCACTTCTAAAGAACTTCCAAATTCTCCCTTAAATACTTACTCCTTCCAAATTTCGAAATACGCAAAAGCGAAAACCGGCGAACATAATAAGATCAAATACACCATAGTAAAAAATAACACCATAAAAAAATACAATACAACAAGCAATGTAAACAACAATAGCAATACTAATAATAAAAAATTCAAAGAAGAATCGAATTCTGAACCAACAAAGAAAAAGCGAGGTAGAAAGAAGAAAGTGGAGGATGAAGATTATGAGCCACCAAAGAAAATGCGAGGTAGAAAGAAGAAAGTAGAGGATAATGATGATGATGAAGCGTCAAAAGAAAGGTCGATCGCGAAATGGGTCAATGGAATATTCAAAGATTTGAGGATCTTTATTATGCCACAAAATATTGATAGAGTGAGATTGGAACTTTTGAAAACGAGGATCAAAGAAAGGGGCGGATTGGTATTGGAAGTATTTGTTATTCTTGATGTGACTCATATCATTACAGAGTTGAAGGGGAAAAAAGTAATTCGAGGTTTGAACATAAATAAAGCGGACGAATTATTGGAGGTTTGTATTGTTATTGTAGTTCTACAATTATTAGTTAACGTTAATGTGTTTTACATTTTTACATTGGTAATTATAATTAAGCATGGAATAAAAGTTATCAATGCGAATTGGATTTCGGATTCAGTCATGGTATTTGACACTTATTATCGATTCTTAGGCTGTTTGTATTCTTTTGGTCAACTTTATTATCGGACTAATTATCTGTGAATAGTATAATAAACTTTTAGAAATTGATGATTATGTTGTCCATTTAAATGGCATTAAACCACGCGAGATTACTATCGATCAAACCACATCAACACCACTAAAACTCGACGAGAAAAACGAGACCAAAAGGAATGATGAGATGCCCACGGAAAATTATAATAGCGGTTCAGATTCCGAAAAAAGTTTTTTGTATGCTATCAACATTTCTAATAATAATGACGGTAGCAAATCGGCAAATACTTCCCAAGATCCCTTAAAAGAAATCATCGCAGAAGCAAGGCATCTTACTGAAGAGGTAACAGATTAATTATCATTTGAGTTTATGAATTTTTCACTAATATAAGTAATAGGGAATCTATTCGGATGAGGAAGACGAAGATTATGACCGGGAAGAGTCGAGTGTATCAAACACATCTGCGCGACATTATGAAACTTTAGATTCAGATAATGAAGAGGAAACGTCGGGATCGCATTCTATCGCCAATAATATATGTGAACATGATCAAATTCCAAAAAATGAAAATAATCATAATAAACCAGTTTCACCGATAAGTAAGACAGGCGAAGGAGAAATTTTCCGTTTAAAAACAATAGTATTTACATTTATATATATATATATTTGAGAAATGAGTATTATCGTTATTAGATTGTAGTATTAATTTTGGAATAGGATCGTTCTTTTAGACATCAAAACTCTTTCGTCTGTATGCATAAGCATACCTATAAAGAAATTGATGAAAATCCGAACAAGTTGATTATTGATAAGGTTGGTTTGTTTTTATACAAAGTATTTAAATTATTGCAAAGGAAACGGCAAAGAAATTAATAAATTTTTTTTATTAAATTCAGCTTAATTTGATATTGGAACACTATCAAAAGACAAGTAAAGATCAATGGCGAGTTATAGCTTATCGCAAAGCCATATCTGCATTGAAAAAACAGATAAACCCTATAACTTCTTTTGAGGAAGCTAACAAAATTCCTGGTATTGGAGATCGCACTGCAAAGAAAGTGAGTCAAATATTTAGCGATTGCTTACTATAATTTAATTGCATTTTTGTGTTAATTTTAGGTTTTTTTTAAGATCGCGGAAATTATTGAAACAGGTCATCTCAAAAGGTTAGAATTGCACCATGCGAATATGACAAAACATCTACGTAGTGGTAGCGAAATCATCGAAATTTCATAAAAATAAATTATTGATTTAGACTTATTACGTGTATAATATAAATATATATTTTCTATTTCTAAATCGATACTTTTTTAAATAATACGTAAACCGTTCTTGTTCTTAAAATGATTAAAGGGAGAAAGGAATGCAGCATGTTAAACGGTCTTTCTATTATTTTTAGGTTAGACAATTTTGGAGAAGCTGAACCTGTCTTGACGATGTTTACACAGATTCATGGTACGCAAAATACACTAAATCATTGTTTTCTTTTCATTTGGTAACTTGATTTTTTTGACTAACGTCAACATTTAATTAATTATTAAAAGGCGTCGGAGTTAATCAAGCACTTAAGTGGTACGCTCAAGGATATAGAACACGCGAAGAATTATTGAGGAACGTTAAACTTACTCATGCACAGAAAGCGGGAATTCTTTATTTTGAAGTGAGTATTGAAGTTTAAGTAAATCGGATTTAGTAAATTTCATTTTGTAAATATTTTCATACGATATTACTTATTAATAATAGGATTTGCAAGAACGTATGAGTAGAGACGAAGTGACGAAAATTTTCAAGTTTATAGAAGATGCAGCACATAGCATTGACTCTAAATTAGAATGTATCATAGGTGGC